GTGGGGAGAATATGATCTCGCAGTATTCTCCCAGGACTTGGAGGAGCCCAAAAACATATAGAGTATAACAATTTCCCTGGATTGTGTGTTTGAAAAAGAAATGGAGAGTTGGAAAAAGAGGGACAATTTCATCAAGAAGAACATCGGACAGAGGCTTGACAAGAGTGATATCTAAACTCAGTGGGTAAGAGCCCTTCAAGCGTGCTGGTTTTGGACTATATACAAGGTTGGATTGAAGAAAGCTTTATCGAAAGTTCGAATTTTTTGCCCTTTCTACAGAACAGATACAAAATGGACTGTATTGTGTTAAAGCTGGTAGTGAGTGTGGGAAATCAGCAAAAGACTGTCCTTGCCCTCTTCCTCTGTTGGGTGTTCTCTCCTCTCCCATCCTACTCTACCTGGAGTCATTTGAAGTGACCTGTGGTAGGTACAGCCCAGAGCTAGGGTGGAAGGAGCAGGCTTTGCAATCACAGGGAACTGAATGAATCCCTGCTGAATTTCTAAGTGACCCTGGCAATTATCAGCTTTGATTTCTCCTCTAGAAATACAAATATGATCTGCCTCGATAACCTAGCAAAGATGTGTTGAGATTCACCTTAGGTGATGGCCAGGGAGGGCAACACTTTGCAAACTGTTGGGTGCATCAAATGTGAAGTCTAATGATAATGATAACCTTCCAAGTGGATGAATCTTGCTTCTGTGGACTTTGGTTTGCTGCTGAGACGGCGGCCTTTCCTTCTCTTTGTTATATAACTTGTGGGAAGACTTGCTCAGCCTCCATCAGATGGAGTTAATCACATTCCAACATAGAAGAGCCAGCCAGCGCCTTGCCCTGGGCGCCTGGGCTCCCAGTAGCCATGATCAGAGCCTCAGTGAAATTACTCCCCACTCTGCTCTTCACCAAGCTGAACAACTTATCTCGACTTGGGGGATCCCAAAGTGAACAAGTTCAAGTTCACCGTCACTGTTAAGGAGTGAGGTCAGGATTCCAAGGTGGGCGTCTTTTCCCACACAGGGTGTAGGGCTGAGTGCGTCTCTCTCTGGTTCTCCCCACACGACCTTTTTCCTCCTTGCCCCCACCCCCATACTCCCTCTCTTCCTCCTCCCTTCCTTCCTCTCCTTAAGGTTTGAAGCTTTCTTTACTAGAGAATCAGGGGAAATTGAAAAGGGAATGAAAACACAATGAGCAAACGTTGAAAGCCCATATGAGTTTATACGTCTCTCCCTACGAGTTCTTTGTTATAAAATTAAAGAAAAAAGTTTTTAATGTTTTAATTGCACAGGAAACACCCAAATGCATTTCCCCTGTAAAATTTTAAAAATTGAACACTATAGTTGAAATTGGAGTCTCTCATGACCCTCTTTTTTTTTTTTTAGAGAGAGAGAGATCAAGAATTTTAATATTTATTACTTTTTAGTTTTTGGCGGACACAACATCTTTGTTTGTATGTGGTGCTGAGGATCGAACCCGGGCCGCACGCATGCCAGCCATGCACGCTACCGCTTAAGCCACATCCCCAGCCCTCTCATGACCCTCTTATCTCAGTCCCTTCCCCAGAGATAGCTATTGCTATCACTTTGGTATGTATTTTTCTGGCACTTTAAAAATTAATTATACACATTTATCTAAAGCAAGATAAGTAAATATATTTAATTTTTATATGGATGATATCAATTGTACTTACCATTCTGTAGTTTGTTTTAAAATTTTTGTTCAAAGATATGTCTCATTACTGGACAGGAGATATTTGTATATGGGGACATGCACACCTGGACTCACTCTTTGCTGCTTTGAGTGAAGCCAATGTGACTTAAGCATTCTGTATTGGTTCTGTTGATGAACTTTTGGATGGTTTCGTTCTATTGCAAACAGTGCTCCAATAAGCAATCTTTTTTGGGGGGTATTGTTTTATTTTGAGGTGTGGGGATTGAACCCAGGGCCTGTGCATACACTGAGCTCCACCTCCAGCCCATCAATGAGCATTCTTCTACCTATGTCTGTCAAGGGTAGATGCTATGGTCTTGTGAACCTGGATGCAATGAAATCAGTTGATTGGCTCCCATCCTCCACTTAACCCCTACTCTCAAAGGATGGTTAGCTAAAGATCTCTTCTGATAATCACTTGGGGTTTTCTCATTTCAACAAATTGTTAGTGTATACATTATAATTTTCATGATCTTTATTTTTGTGCTTTTGTGACAGTACAAACTGAACAAAAAATATTGTTCCTGCTGCTACTCTTGCAATAATCAACCCTGCACTTGACATGGTTGAAGTATGCATGTAGTTAGTGGATTAATAGGGTGATCTGAATTGCCCTCCTAAGTGGCATGCTAATTTATGCTCCTGTCACCACTGTCTGTGAGAACACATTCCCTCAAACCCCCGCCAACACCTGATGTTTTCAAACATGAAACACTTTTCCCATCGGATGGGATGGGGAAGGTGACATTTCATGGCTGTTTTAATTGGCATTTTATCCTGATTTTCTTCTTCTATGACAAAAATGTGCTCCATAGGGAGTTCTTATGTCCTCATTGAGTAGTGGGGAGTCCCTTTGCCAGATCTGTTCCATTCCAGCACTGGGGAGTCCCTTTGCCAGATCTGTTCCATTCCAGCACTCCCGGCTTGGGCGAGAAGACCATGATGTAGCAAGAGTATGGTGTGTGCAGAGCACCACTAGCACAGCTCCCAGGCCTGGGCCTGTTTTGGACATTCTCAGAGCATGCCTTTCTATGATCCAGCTCTAGACCTTTGGGGTACATTTAGAAATTCTGCAGAGATGTTGTAAAATGATCCATATGCTCCTTTTCCCTTTGTTATTTTCCTAATTATAGGCATTATATTTTATGCTTATATTTAGTTAGCCTTTTTTTTTTGCTGCTGTGAACAAAAGACCTGATAAGAACCATTAGAGGAGGAAAAGCTTACTTTGGGGCTCATGGTTTCAGAGGTCTTAGTCTACGGAAAGCCAACTACATTATTTGGGACCTGGGGTGAAGCAGAGGAAAAGAAGAGGCAGTTGGGAACTTGGCATCAGGGAAAGGAGAGAGAGAGAGAGAAAGGGAGAGAGAGAGAGATAGAGAGAGAGAAAGAGAGAGAGAGAGAGGGAAAGAGAGAGGGGGGAGGGGGAGAGAGAGGGATAGAGATAGAGATCTCTGCTTAACAAGGACAAAATATCAACCCCAAAGGATGCCCTCAGGAACCCACCTCCTCCAGACACATCCTACCTGCCTATAGTCACCACTCAGTTAATCCCCAACATCAGATTCATGCAGTGATTATGACTCTCATAATCCAATCACTTCACCTCTAAACCCTCTTGTAATATTTCACACATGAGCTTTTGGGGGACAGCTCATATCCAAACCATAACAACCTAATATGTCGCTAGTTTTCAAAGAGGTGGGGTCTGCGCTATGGAATTTTAAAATATATTCATTTCTTGTGATTATGTATATTATTCAAAACTTGCAAAGCTGAAAGAAGTATAAAAAAGGAGAAAATTATCTTCTACTTAGAGGCGACCATTGTTGAGATACAAATAGATGTTTTGAAGAAATGCATTTGCAGGTACAGGCGTATCTGCCTTCTCTCCATACTTTTCAAGTGTCTGCTATATACATTTTGTACACACAAAAAAGCCATTTTAAAAATTTACTGCATATTTTATGTGTTTGAGCATTGCTCACTTGGAATATATCTGATACTCATTTTACTGTTTAAACCTAGTCGAGATGGTTGCTTTTCTTACACGTCTACTAAAACTTCATTGGCTTTATTAATCTGCAGAGCTATGAATAAGAAGACTTCAGATTCTGAGGTGCTCAGTCTTCCCAAGGTAGACAAGCCTCTTAAACTACCTTGGAGGGACAGCATAACTTCATAATTGTCTCAGATCATGCTCAGGGCCACCCTGGAATTTGCATAAGGCCTAGGAACCAGAAAAGAACATAAGCCCTCTTTACAGTCGATGTTGGGAACTAGTTCTGCCTCAGGTGCTCAGGAAGGTCTACAGTGTGGGTAGACTGGCTATAGGCTGCATGTGAGCCTGTGTCCGCTCAGCATCTAGCTCTAGTCACTTGAGGTCCTGGGTCATCCAGCTGAGGAGACAAAGGTACCTTTTTGCCTCCCACATCTTTAATGTAGCCCAAATCAATCACTGTTGATTTTGCACACTACCTTCTTGGAAAAAGTATTTTTTTCATAAGCACAAGAGAATATTGTTTACCATGGCCGAAATAAATACACAAAGCTGCATAATTTTCCACAATTGGTTAGGAGGAATGTTGAATTAAATGTTTTGGATCATTCCAGTTCTACTGTGAAAATTGTTTGTTGCTTACTACTTATTTTCTTTTCTGCTTCACAGTTTATTTCATTGACTCTGAACATTAAGCAGTGATTGAAATGGTTTGCTTCAGAGCAGATGGTTTCATAGTATTCTGCAGGAAGTACTTTCTGACATCCCCTGCTTTGTGAGATCGTCCTGGGATTCCCAGAAGTCCATTTTTTTTTTTTTTTACTGTGGTAGGAACACTCAACATGAGCTCTGCCCCCTTAACACATTCTTAAGTGTAAAATACAATATTGTTAACCATAGGCACAGTGTTGCACAGCAGATCGCTAGAATTTATTCATGTTGTATAACTGAAACTTTATGTACATTGATTAGCAATTCACCATTTCCCTCTCCTACCAGTCCCTGGCAATCACGATTTTACCATCTGCTTCTATGAATTTCACTGTTTTAGATATTTCCTATAAGTAGAATCATGTCATTGCCCTTCTGTAATTGCCTTATTTCACTTAACATATTTTAACAATAAAGACTTATTTCCCAGGGCTGATGGATGTTTAAAAGTGCCATTCCATTGCTGGATTGCTTGGCTCAGAGTAGTGTCCCTTGGCTGGTTTAGACCTAATTCATGCATCAAGAATGGAGGTTGGTTGTACAGGTTAGGAGCTGGCTATTGGCAAAATTAGTGAAGGTTCTTACCTTGCTTATAATTTTTATGGTGTTCTCGAGGGAGGACAAAATGTTCTGGTCTGAAATGCTCATGCTGGGATTCTGGCCTTCAGAAGGACACTCCAAGTTCTAGGTGAGGGGTTAGCAGGGTGGGAAAGTTAGTGTCTGACTGGAGGCCACTCCTGGCTATGGTCATGGAAAGGCTGTCCTTAGGCAGATGTGGACATAAGAGAGGAGAAACAATGAGAGGAGAAAGGAGGAAGGGGTCTCACAGGGAGGAGGAAGAGAAAGAAAGCAGCTCAGGGTGGTGAAGGTCAACATCAATGGCTGGCTTCCTGCCCAAGGGAGGCTGCCTGAGCCTTAGAGCTATGGGGTGGGGCTGCCTCATGGGTTGTACCATGGGAACACCAACAAAGTCCTCTGGCTGGGACAAGTGGGCTCTGAAGTTGCCCTGTTTTCACTCACTACCTCACCAAGACATGGGGCAAACACACGCCCTAAGAGCTTTCCTAATTCTCCAAGAAGTGCCACCTGTGCTGGCATAGTACTGGTGGGAGGGGCCCCGACTGGCTAAAAGTAGACTCTTAGGGTTTCATTACAGAGTTCCTTCATGGAACCAGAAAGTGGCCAGAGCTCAGAGAAGATCTATTTTTCTATCACAGGTAATGAGCAAGCACATGGACACTTGAATTGAGGGTCATCATACCTGAGGTGATATGGCAGGACCTCTTAAACAGCAAATATTACATTCTGGGTCTCTGGATCAAGACTTCTGGTCAACCTATCCAATGAGCTTCTAGCTCCAGAAAACTTGGATTCAAACCCCAGAGCTGATGTGTTCTAGTAGGAGAGTTGGATAGGTTCCTTATACTTTCTGAATTTCATCTTCCTTGCCTGAAAGTGGAAAATATGGGGATTAAAACAAAGCTTAAAGGCATGTTTGGAGGCCCTTTAAAAACTGTGTAGCGCTATGTCAATATTAGTCTTATCTTTTGAGAGGAATCAGATCTTTAAAGGTATGTCAATAGTAGCAAACTTTCTCATAAGCAGAGATACTCAAGACTACACAGGGTAGTAACCATATCAATATCGTGGTATATCTAACATATGGGAATTCAAGAAATATGAATGACATAATATAAATCTTATAATATAAATTTTATGATATAAAATTTCATTTGGTATGTGCACTTTATCATATACTGTATAATAGGGCATGAGATACTTGTTTTCTTTCACACGTCCACTAAAAGTTCATCAATGGACTAGGAATGAGGGAGGAGTGACTCCCTTAGAACACTGAGGAGTGTTCTAGAAAGGGAACTGGGATGTGGGTGACAGCAAGAAAAACAAATCAGAACAACAAATTTATAGATGTCTAGTATATCGGCTTTGTGGGTAAGATATCTGCTCATGTGATATAGAAGAAAGCCACTTAGGTAATCCAGGAGGGTTGTGGTGGGGAGGGGAGCTGGTGAGTGGGGCAGGAGGGAAGGCTTGGAGAGGTCTGATGGGATTTGGAGAGCTGTGTTTTGTGTGAGGTGATCCTTCCATGGGACTCCATGCATATTCAATAAAACTAGAAAAATTACAACATGCTTAATTAAGTCAGTTGGACTTCTCATTGAGATAGCAAAGTGTTTGCATCATGTTTGGGGCTTAGCCAAAATTGTATCAGTTTTTGTAGATGAGTCTGGGTTACATGTACAATAAGGGGGATGGCTCTGTCTTCATAGGGCCAGGAGGGTCAACTAGGATCAAGGATTTGAAAATTCTTTGTGGACCGTAAGGGATACACCCCTGGGAGTTGCCCTTGTGTTGTTTTCAGGACTCTCTTTGTGAATTCATATGCATGTGGGTTTCCCCTGTGCATCATCCCCAGATGCTACTGATCATCAGGGAATCAGTCAAGAGTGTAGATGAATCTGCTGAACCCATCTTCCCGCCATCAAAGACTGCAGAGCATATCCCTGCTGATGGCAAGGAATCTTGGCAAACAGTGCTGCCATCTGTGGTTATCATGTAGACAATGATGCAGGAGATGTAGTTGAGCTTCAACAAGTTAGACAAAAATGGACTTCTTACGTTACCTTAAATCAGGGGCCTTTTGTCTGGGACACATTGATAGACATGTTGCATCTGTTCTGAAATTGTACACAAAGTGAGTGTGTGTGTGTGTGTGTGTGTGTGTGTGTGTTTATGTGCATGTTGTGCTTCTCATATTGACCTGGGAAAAGAATCTATGGCGTTCCACAGATTCTCTAGGGAATAACCATCCTAAAGGTTCAGTATTACTGACTTACAGTGATTGAAATGATGGGACTTTGCTGAAAGGTGCATGAGGAAACTGGAGAATTCTAACCCCACTCAGTTGTTAGCTCACTGCACTAGCTTATCTCCGAGGCTCCGTTGGGCTGTTCTAACATTTACATTTTATAAAGAAGCAAATTGCATAGTTTGAGTGGTAGTACTTGTTCCTTTATTAAAAACATACAGCTTATTTTGTATGTATGTTTTTAATTAGAAGGATGATCACAGTGTTTTTAGAAAAGCTAGAAACTAAAGAAAAATAGAAAGATGTTAAAAAAAATCATTAAAAAACCTCAGGAAAGAGTTCACTGGCAGCATAGTATACTGAACACAGGCTTTGATTTCAGATACATCTGAGCTGGTGTTCTGGGAAATTTAGGGAAAGTTGTTTAATCTTTTTAAAAATCTGTCTTCTCATTAAAAAAATTGAGATAATAAACTGGGTGTGATGACTGACACCTGTAATCCTAGCCACATGGGAGGCCGAGGAAGGAGAATCTCAAGTTGTGGCCAGTCTTGGCAATTTAGCAAGATCCTGTCTTAAAATTTTAAAAAGTGAAGGAAAAAAAATAAAGGCGTGGGATGTAGGTCAGGGGTAAACTGCTCACCTAGCACGCTCGTGGCGGTGGGTTCAATCCCCAGTACTGCAAAAAACAAACAAATAAATAACAACAACAAAAAACCACAACAAAACAAATAACCAATTGTATTTACATCATAAGGTTCTTGAAGATTAAGTGCTTAGCACAGTGTCTAGTATTCAGTAAGTGCTTAATAGAAGATAATGCTTTGTCACACTTATGTAATTCCAATCATTCTTATGTAATAATTCCCATGTTACATACTCGTTGTAAATGTTTGTTTCAATAGTTATATTATATCAAATACAGGGGATACACTCATTTACTTGGGAATTCTTGGATATTGAGCATATTTTCAATTTTTAACTATTAAAAATGAGTGTTCTCATAAACAAGGTTGGATTTGCTTGTTTCTTAGCACTCAAATCAGATGGTTCCGTTAACATATTTTAGGTGAAATATATGCTACATAAAAATCTATGTAGTGTAGGGGGATTTTTGTAGTGACTATATGTGATTTCTTGAAGATAGTTCTGGAAGATGGAAAACCATCATGAATTTTACCTGGGACTTCTTTTGCTTCTTGGAAACTCCCAAATTCTAGTAGTTTCAACTCAAAGTGACAAGGTGAGGGGGGAAAGGTGAGACCAAGAAGCAGAGGGTGCCTTAGTTCTGTAAGTATGTGAGTTTGCCTGATGAAACAGAGGCTCCAAATCACAGCAGCCGAAATAAATTAGATTATTACTTTCCTTTCATGTGACAGCTCTGCTATAATAGTTCAGGGCTGGTCGGTGGCTTTGGAGACCCAGCCTCCTTTCATCTTGTCCTCCTACCTACTCCAGATGGCTCACCCACCTGGCTGGTGGGAAGAGGGAAATGGGGAAGAAAGCAGTTGCCAACCCCTTAAGAAGCTGCAGAAAACACTTCAGTTCCTATTTCATTGGCTAGAAATGAATCATGACCACACCAAGCTGCAAGGGAGACTGGGAGATGCAGTTTTAATTCTGGGAATCCTTGTATCCAGAAAAAAAAAATCAAGAGTTCTACTTCCCTAGGAGGAGAGGAGAACAGATACTGAGGGTCAACTTGCTTTCTCTGCCACAGAAGATTTTCAATATAAAAAGGAAACCTGGGATAATCCACAGGGGTGGGTAATAGGCTCTTGCAAGAAGAGAGAAAGTACTGCTGCCAGAACAACATGAGCATGTGGAGTACCCATTACACTGACACTGTGTGTCTACCCTCCGCCATCTTTAGTTTATGTTCTAACCTAGATAGTTAGCATAGTTTCTCCTGCTCTTTCTTGCCCCCTCCTTGGTATCACTCCTCGACCCACAAAGTCCTTCTGTTTTGATAATGCCCTTTTCATTCAGCAAACATTCAGAAAGTGCTGGAGATGCCAAGTGATGGGTCCTCTCACCGAGTGGCTGGGAGGCACAGAGTGAGTGCTGAGACAGACACATGAACAATGGAGTAGTGTTAGTACATTCATGCTCTGCTGGGAGAGCTCCAGTGAAGGACGGGCCTTTTCTAAGTAGCATGGAGCTGAGGAAGGGTCCAGAAAGGACCTCCTTCATATAGAGGGAGGTACTAGACTAAATCTTGAAGAATGAGGAGGTGTTTATGAGATTGACAGGGTGTGGTAAGGAGGAGAGACAGAAGGAAATATGGAAAATCATCTTCCTTGTGTGTAGCGTGGCCATCAGATAACAGTAGGGCAATTTTGACTGGCTTACACATGAAGAACAGATTTGTGGGTCACATTATTGAAAAGTCTGAGGGCTGGGAAGTGCAGTCCAGCTTCAGAATCAGCCTGACACAGGCATTCAATGTGTAGGCCCTGGCTTCTTGTCTTCTTCTCTGTGAGTTTCACTTCAGTAGGATTTTTCTCATGAGGTGAAAGAGATGGCCACAGACCCTCAAGTTTAAATACAGTCTCTGAGATACAAAATAGAAAGAGTTTATTCTTCCTAATGGTTCCAGTTAGAGTTTCTAGATTACCTCCGATTGGACTGGCATAAATCACATGCCCGACCATGAACGTGGGTCCAAAGGACACCTCCAAGCCATCCACATAAACTGAAGGTCGATTGGATGATACTTCCTGAAGGAAAATGGGTGATATTAGCAGAGCAGGATAGTTTATTTAGAGAACTGCTAGTAATACAAGAAGTAGAGCAAAAAACTAGAAGATGGAAAGCTTTGGACGCTACTATGTAGAGTGTAAACTTTATTTGGTGGATTTTACAGAGTGTCACTGAAGGGCCTTAATAGGGTAACATGAATCTTTGACGTACTATTATTAACTGAAGTACACAGTTTGGGTTTCATTCTGTGTTGCACATTGTATAGGTTTTAATAAATG